AAATCCATAATGATCCATAATGAAATGAAAGCATAATAATATGTAAAGAACATATTCAGGTTTTCTCAAAAAACAACAAAAGTATCACAAACCTTTGCATGGAAAACACAATGAAGCTTCTATGTCGTAAAAGCTCTTTAATTGAATGAATTGTCTTAGTTTGCTTATCTTATCTGGAACTGATTAACAGGTGTTATTAACACTGGGCTACACTGAGGTCGACTGCTGCTGAATATTGTCAAGAAAAATCATAACATATGATGAATAACAAATAGTTTGCAATAACCATGTATGATTCAAAGCTACTACACATGTAACTTAAATACTCAAAAACTGAAGGACTGGCTCAGATTAATACTATTTTTACTTAATCAAGCTTAAGCAAAAAATTGTCAAAAAAATCCTTAAATATGATCACAGGCTACAGCAATAAATCACAAACAAAATGTAAAAAAAGAGCAACAAGTTGGGAAATAATTGTATATATACCTTCTGTTAGGACAGAACTGTAAAATATACACTTCTTACATTTTCAGTTTTACAGTTTATGTATATACAGCACTGTACAAAAGTCAGAGACCACCCTTTATTACATTTTTAGAAGTACAAGTTATTCATTTTTAGGAGATATTTCTGAGGAGATTAGATAAGTACATAAGGAAGGAGGAAATCAAAGGAAAGCAAGTGAACAACAAGAGTTTCTGGATACAGAAAAATACCCAGTAAATGGAGTTCTAAACAACCGTGCAAGACCTGGCAGACCACCAACACTGTCTCCACCATATAAACAGCACATAAAGCTTTCATCTTCGAAAGAGAAGAGAGCTTCACTTATGCTTCAGATCTGAAACACCCACAAGTAAGAGTCAGAAACCAGAAGGTTTACAGGTTCAAATCCTAGGACTGATCGGGTGTTCCTTAACCCCCCACGGCTTTGCTGATGATGTTACATACATACATACACCTTCTAAACCGCTTATCCTTCTGGGTCGCGGTGGGGTGCTGGGGTCTATCCCAGCTGTCATTGGGCGGAAGGCAGGATACACCCTGGACAGGTCGCCAGTCCATCACAGGGCAGACAGACAGACATATACAATCACACACACACAATTCAGCATGTCCAATTGGCCTGACTGCATGTCTTTGGACCGTGGGAGGAAACCGGAGAACCCGGAGAAAACCCACGCAGACACAGGGAGAACATGCAAACTCCACACAGAAAGGACCCCGGTCGCCCGGCCGGGTATCGAACCCAGGCCCTTCTTGCTGTGAGACGACAGCGCTACCCACTGCGCCACCGTGCCGCCGCTGATGATCTTGTACTATTTAATTAGGAACAGTGTAATTTTGAAGGATCAATCAAAATCCATCCTTACACTGTGAGAAGACTCACTGCTGTGGGTCTGAAAGGATGTTGACTGAGAAAAGAACCAAAAATTTAGAAAAAAGATTCAGCTGGTGTTCTCAGAACAGCGCACTGGCCACCCTGCAGTCCAGACCTCAACATCATTGAATGTGTTTGAGGTTACTTGGAATGTGAGAAGCAGAAAGTGCAGTGAACAAGACTGGACTGAGGAGTGGAGAAATATCTCAGAAGAACTAAAAGTCACCTGACAAGAATTGAAGCTGTAATGAAGGCATAGATTGGATGCACTAAATACTGAAAAATTCATATCATATTCAGTTGTTGAGGCTTACTTTTTTGTTAAATATGTTTCCTGCTTTGTTTCCTATTATTGTAAAATGAGGGGTGGATTAACGCTCAGGCTATCCTAGGCTGCAGCCTAGGGGCCCGCACAGGGATTGGGGCGCACTGATTGGCCAGAAAAACTTGAGTCCTCATTGGCCCATTACACTTATAAACACTACATGATTTCAGGACTTGTTAGTTTGGAAAGGTTCGTAGGTCAGTTCTAAGTGTTGGCAAATTGTACAGCATTGTTTGTTTGCTCCTGCAAGTACGTGTGTTGGAAATTATGGTCTGTAGGCTTGATGCAAATTTCACCGTTCATGATAGAAAAGCCAGGTCCCACTGCTAAATCAAATGAAGAAAACAAGACAGAGGCAGAGCCACCAACAGCTGGCAGGGCCTCCACAACTCTACTGCTGCATCGGGGCTAACATTAACAGACGCTGCACAAGAGGGGGCAAAAGAAACACTGACAGCGACAGCAGCTACCGCTTCTTACAGCTTGGACCCAGCATACTGGACTAAAATTGATTAAAAGATGCAGGCATACTGGGCCCAGGATCGTGTCTGGTTATCAACATAAATACCAGAAGATTTATTTCTCTAAAACGCCTGTCTAAACAAAACTGGCAAATGGTGAGTACATATAAAGAGAGTGGCTGCTGTTTTCACTGTACAAGGGTAAGGTTAGTGTTTTCACTCTTAGACTGCTTATGACTTTGCTGGTGATCAACATGAATGGAAAACATTCTTTCCAAACTGGCACTGGTGGAAAATAAACCAAGGTCAACAATGGATCACAGCAGGCTCAATCACCAATTGCCTGGATGTTGATAGAGTAACATTATTTCACCAGCCTGTTTTAAGCAGCTCACAGATTTGATGTGTACTGATTTATCAGCTGCATTACTGTACTTGGTTACTTTTCAAGCTTTAGTGTCTGAGTGGGCTCGCGCATACAGTTCTGACGCTCATCATTCTTTGTTTCCGTTTCACCTGGCCGTATACTTTGTATTTTCTTTTTCTGGTACTGGATAGATTGGATGTTTGTGTGTTGTAGTGGGTTAGTGTGTGTGTGGAAGGGGTGGAGGTGCCTAGGGACACCTGATCACTTTAATCCGCCACTTTGTAAAATGAATAAATTGTACTTAATGGCAATTTTGACTGGAAATAAAAAAAAACAAAAACTAAAGATTATCTGACCTTTGCCCAGTGCTTTATGAAATACAGTCAGTGATATATATGATTTCACACAGAGGGGCAGAGGAGCACAAAACATGAATTGAAGTGGATGCAGTGTGCACTCTGAATGTGTCTTAAAATAACATTTACCAAGCCTTTGGCTAATCACACAAACTGTGCATAGAATTGTGTACTAATTGTGTTGGCTAGTGAGGCTCAAGGTTTAAATGGTGCAGTAAAATGGAGGAGCCGTCAACAAGCTCAAAAATATATCAATGATGTAGCAGCAGTGAATACATTCAATAGATTATTAAGAGACTTTTAGTTAACTGCGTGAATAAAAGTTGTTTCTAATCTGCTGAATTCAGTTGTTTTTCATTCTATTTGGTGTCCAAGTTAATATCTGTAGAAGTTTAACCTGAGGAGTCACTGAACATGTAACAGATCTAATACAGACCATCTCAACATCCTCAACAAGCTGTTATAGAGATGCTGGTGACAACATTCTGTAACAGGAGCTTAACTGGTTTAGGTTGTGGTTAAGGTTAGAGTTAGGATTAGGGCCAGGGTTAGTGTTAGGGTTAGGTTTTGGGTTGAGGTTAAGGTTAAGGTTAGGATTAGGGCCAGGGTTAGTGTTAGGATTAGGTTTTGGGTTGAGGTCAGGGTTAGGATTAGGGCCAGGGTTAGTGTTAGGGTTAGGTTTTGGGTTGAGGTTAGGGTTAGAATTAGGGCCAGGGTTAGTGTTAGGATTAGGTTTTGGGTTGAGGTTAGGGTTAGGATTAGGGCCAGGGTTAGTGTTAGAATTAGGTTTTGGGTTGAGGTTAGGGTTAGGATTAGGGCCAGGGTTAGTGTTAGAATTAGGTTTTGGGTTGAGGTTAAGGTTAGGATGAGGGCCAGGGTTAGTGTTAAGATTAGGTTTTGGGTTGAGGTTGAGGTTAAGGTTAGGATTAGGGCCAGGGTTACTGTTAGGTTTTGGGTAAGGTTGGGTGAGGTTAGGTTTTACTTAATGAAAGGGAGATATTAAGTTTACTTCATGTAACAATACATCTACTTAATGTATTTGATGTATCAACAGTTCATCTTTAAGGTATTTACTCCGTTGTATTCAGATGCTTCACTACTGTTACTTCACTGATATGTTACTGATACTCTGTTAAGAGTTTATTAATCATCTACAAAGGACCACTCAAAATAAAGTGTTACCACAAGTTCAATGTCAAAGAGGTAAGAGTGTTCAAATAAAATGTCTTTCTCAACAAAATGTTCTACATGGATTTATTTCTTATTTGGGAAATAATAACAAAGTCAATGCCATTGGAGTCATTAGGTGCACTCTGAAGGAGTTCTTAGAGTAGCAGTATTTTAGTGTTCCACACTCTCCAGAAAAAAGGTAGTAAACTGTCACTGGTCTTGTCACTGCAGTGGAACCCTCAAGGGTACAACTCAGTACCTTTAGTCAGGGAACATAATTGTTCCTTAATCCATTGAAATTATATTTTCTAAGTTGTATTTTACTTTATTTGCTCTGTTTTAAAACATTAGGTTATGAAAGGGTACAAATATGTATTTTCCACTGAGAAAAAAGTGAGTAAGATATACAATTGGATCTTAAAACAACTGTTGTACCTTTTGGGGCTACATTTACATTGTTTGTACCTTGGTGAAAGAAAAATGTATCTTTATTTCTAATAGTGCAAGCAAAACTGACAACCGCTAGTGGCCACTGGTCACCACCTATTTTTTGTGCAATCCTCTATTAAATGTATATATATGAGTGAGAGAAACTGTTGGTGCAAACAGCTTCTAGGCTCATATCCATCCTGAACAAAGCAGACAGCTTTTTCTAGAGTGCTATAGGAATAAGAGTCTATAGGAATAAGAATTATTTAAGTTTTACATCATCATCTGTATAGACAGTGTTCTCACATTGAGTGGGGCCTATGCAGTTTTGAATGGAAAATGAAAAATGAAGCCTTTATAATAACTGTAGACACAATCATAAGTTTCCAAAGTGATATTGTCTGACAGCTATACAGCTAGTTTTCACACAAATAGTAAAAGCAAGGAGTGAAGGAGGGTGTGATAACCCTATGGTCTGCTGGGAGGAGTGAGGACACTGGGAGCAGGGTATGGTGGCACACAGCATTCTTTTTATTCCACAACACAAACTTTAGCTTTTCAGCTTGTACAACAAATAGGAACTGCATCACTTATGACTTTTCATGCTTGATTCTGTTCAGCTTGCTGTGTGTCTCATGTCCTGGTCTCATTCTCTCCGTTGTCTGCAGAATTCTAATGAGAAAAGACATGACTGTAAATAGGCAGAAACAACACACAGGTGAACACCATCAGCTGGTTCAATGTGACTGACTCTCCATCCTTCATGTGATGCTCAACCACGGCCCCTTCTCTCTCTCGCTCTCTCTCTCTCTCTCTCTCTCTCTCTCTCTATATATATATATATATATATATATATATGACCACCTCCTTGTTTCTATGTTCATTGTCATTTTATCAGCTCCACTTACTATATAGGTGCACTTTGTAGTTCTACAAAGTGGACAATGAGCATAGAAACAAGGAAGTGGTGATAATGTTATGCCTGATCGGTATATATATATGTATATGTGTGTGTGTGTGTGTGTGTGTGTGTGTGTGTGTGTGTGTGTGTGTGTGTGTGTTTCTTTGCTCTGTTATCTCCTTGATAGTATGTTATTTTGCTCATGAGTATAGATACAGCTTCATTTTCTTTGTCTGCTGGTCTTCTGAAATGGACTACTTGTAAACCGGAGGCTTCTGGGAAATAATTGTACCCACCCGGTCCCCTCATCCCTTCAAAACAAAAATATACTGGCCCTAAAGAATAATGAGCAGCCCCAACACATGAAGAGCCAGATATATAAAATTTCTGAAATGCTCTCGCAGATTTACTATGACGTTAAGAGCAAACAGCATGGTGATCAATATAACAATATAAACCTTAAACCCATGATTAAAGTAATTACAGTATTTACTGTCATTGTCACAGATTCTCCCTTTGTTCCTCTGAATATGTCCTTCTTCCCCTCTATGATAGCCATGTGCCTTTTTGTTTTCTTGTACCATGTGCTTTTGTTGTTGTTCTGTGTCTCCTCCCTGGTCTTGCCCCCTTGTTATCTATTCCACCTGTCTGTGCTCCACCCCTCATTAGTCCAAGGTGTTTCCCCTCTGTGTATTTATACCCCTGTGTTTGTCTCTGTCTTGCATTGTGGATATACTTGTGGATGTTACTTTGTCTCTTGTTTTCTTTCATCTTGAAGTTTGGTTTTGTTTTTTGTTATGGACTTGTCTGTTTTTCAAAACTCTGTTTCTCTGGACTCTGTTAACTCTAATTTCAATAAAATCAACTCTCATTTGCATCCCACCTCCTTGCCTCCACCGTTACAGTCATTAATATCTAAATGTCTATAGGAATAAGAATTATTTAAATCTTACCTCGACTGGTGCATCAGTCTGGCGGTCAGTTGTGGGGGACCTAAACAGTTTTGAATGGAAAAATGAAGTTTTTATAATAACTGTAGACACAATCCTAAGTTTGGTGGAAGGAGTTGCTAACATTAAAACATTAAATGTCACGTTCACGGTCCAATTTATTAATTTCTTACTTTATTTATTTAACTGTTGTATAAAAGCAACAGAACATTCAAGGTCGTATGTTATCATGAATAAAATCACGGCTGTGATGATCTACGGCACTCGATGTTATTTCGTGATAACACACTCCCTCTCACACATCCACACATCAGCTGATAAATCTCTATATTCTAAAGGCTGTTCTGTTTGGACAGAGCATTATGGTGAACCTTTTAACTGCTGTTATATGACCACATCTACAGGATTTCTGATTGCCACAAACATTTGCCATAAGACATGCAAATTTAGATTTCACAATGAAAATATTCTCTCCTCTCACACATCTGTCACTGTACTTAAAATAGCCTCTTCTTCTTGTGTCATATTCAGTGTTTGGTAAATCCCGCTCTAGTGTATGAAAAGTAGGTTTTGCTTGTAATTTAAACAAGTAAAAAGAAATTGTATTAAATGTTGAGATTCTAATTAATTTAATGTTCAAATTGTAGTCATTGTTAAAAGTTTTCTGCTTAGCATAAACTCAGTACTAAAAAGGACAGATGTCTAGTCCACGTTCACACTAAACAGTTCTTTGTTGCAAATGAACAGTCAGAAGGTTCTATATTGTTGCAGAATTCAGATGCCTTAGGCTGCCTTTACACTGTGGAACTTGTATCTTTATTTGCTAGAAACCTACATGAAACTAAAGTTGCCTTGCATTATCTTTGAAACTAAGCGGCAACACATCACGTGGTCACATGGAACGACATATTTTAAGATTAGTGATTTCACTGCATCAAGAAAATAAGACAGAAGATGGTTTATTGGGCAGTAAAAGTGGAGAATCACTGACTGACTCATGATTGAGGTTATTTTCTGTCATTTTTCTGAAACACAATAACAAATGTGAGGTTTCTCAATGCTAACATTTCTGGACCCGGCTGTCTTAATAAACCAGCTAACAGTAACAGCTGCTTTGACATGGAAGTTATGGAACTGAAAAGCTGTTTTTCTGTCAGAAAACTGTGAAGAGAGATAAAGACAAATGTTTACATTCACACTGAACATACCCTGGAAATAAAAAAGGCAATACCTCTTTTTTTTCCACCAGTAGAGATATATGACGATGAAGGCAACAATAAGAATGATGACAACCACTACGCCAACCACGACAGGCACTGTTAAACCTGAAAAACAAAAGCAAGAACGACTGATCCTCATTCACCAACCATTCTTAAGAAGGAATGTCTTCTTAAAACCCACTGATGCGTTTTTCACAAGGATTCTGACATTCATCAATGTTCAATTTTAGGTTTTGCTTTTAGGTAAGAACAGAATCCACACACACTGAAGAGCACAATGGTGTGAAATATTCTGTGGTTTAAGAACGCGTCCTCAGTCTGATGAAGACTTTTTCTTAGTACTTTTCTCAAGAACAGATTTCAAGATATTGGTCTATGAGGCCCATTGTTATGAATTTTACAAATAAAGTACAAGATGGGTTCAAATAACAGGATGTGTTTGTGTTTGAGCATGTACGTGCACACCATCATCACAGAGTCGTTCCAGTTCTTTCAACTCCAAAGCATCTGTCTTCCAGCTGGCTGGGTTGCTATGGTTACAGATGATGGTGCTGCCACTGACAGACAGGGAAAGGGCGACACCTCCAGGTGATGTCACTTCCTTCTCCTCACAGGTTTCTTTGTAACAGCTGGAGCTGATAGAGAGGTCATGACCTCTACAGGTGAGAGTGATGTTGCAGGTGTCTCTGCTTAGCTGGTGAGTCAGGACTGGAGCCTCCACTGGATCTGAGGTAGAAGATATACAGACACATCACTGTAATGCTGACAGTCAGTCAGTTATTGGCTCCAGCTCCCCCCACGACCCAGAAGGTTAAGCGGCTTAGAAGATCAAGTCAAGAGCAGACAGCTTGTTAAGACGAGTGAGAATCTGACATGAACTGTGTAACTACAGTTAGTCAGCAGACAGTCCAAGGAAGGGAACAATATTAGGAAAGAAGCTCTGATGTTTTTGTTTTTTCCCGAGTTCTTTACTTGAACTTAATTGAATTGTTAGCTGATTTCCACACTTTTAAAAGGCAAATTTGTTCATCCGATACAGTTTTCATGAATTGGCAAAATCTAATCTGCCATCACGTTTCCATCTCAGTTCATTAAAGTTAATTGAAATGAATTGTCTGCTGGCGATTTAACTTTTGTAGGTCCAAGTTATTTTTAAGTAGTCCATTTAAAAGTGGACAGTGCAGTGTCCTATTAGTTTGGCACCACACTCTGTAATAGAGAATGTTGCAAACCAAATAATAGCAAGGTTAGGAAGGTTAACCAGTGTTTAAGCAAGCACCTATCCAAGATAACATAGCCTAGGAGTAAAGACAACACAGAGAAGGTAAGTAAAACAAGAGGAAAAACACACCCAGAATGCAAATAGATACAATCTTTGAAAACAAGAATTCATCAAAAAAAGCCACTAATTCAAATAGTTTAGTAATTTGAGTTATTTAATATTTTAAAGAGAAATTCTACTGATTTTTCAAATCTGCATATTTCAATCATTGAGACATAAAAGAATCATTCAGAATTATTTGATGTGAAATAGTTTGATATATAGAACTTCACCAGCTCTGTTTTCTTTACAGTGTCAGGTACAGCAACCAGGGCCAGGATGGCTACAAATATCAGCCATTTTATTTACTATCCAAAACCACCAGTGAACCTACACTTGTTTTGTAAGTTTTATATGTAATGTTGTTTATACTAATAGTGGCAAACCTGAAAAAAAAAAAGTTTGGGGACTGTTTTCCTTAAAACATCCTGCATGTACCTCTCAAAGTGTGGCCTTTTGGCCAAAGTTTGCCTGTAAACAAATTTGCTATGGTCCACCAGAAAGTTACCCTAACTCCACCCCCTCACCCTGTAAGAAAATAAACACTTTTACTAAACAAAAATATTCTACTGTAAGATTGTATTTTGTATTTTTGAAGTGCTTTTATTAACAAAATGTAGTGTAATTTCATGCAATAAACAACCAAACAAACAAACAAACAAACAAAAATAAATTCATTTAAAAATGCACAAATTGAAACCTACCTACCTTCTCTAATAGTACACTGTTTCACTTTTGGGACATCCACAAACATTTCACTTCACAAAGCCCCCCAAGACAAAAAGTTTTGGCACCTCTGCATTAAATGCTTCAGCTGTCTGGTTCCTATTACCACCAATGTTAAATGGTCTGACTCTGTAGTTTCTCCGGAATGGAGCGTTTCACATCAAACCACTCTGAATGACTTTGTTTACATCATAACCATTTAATTAGGCTGAAATTTTGAAAAATCAGTGTAACTCCCCTTTAGGTACAAAAGATTTAATTTATTTGGGTATGCGTCTCATGATAGCAGGTGGAAAAACACAGTTTATTCCCTTTGACCTGACTGACTGATTTAATGCCTGAGAAAATTACATTCTTTCAACACTAATATTTTAAATACATTTAAAAAATGGGTCAATTTCATTAATATCAACTTGATTTGTTTTCTTAAAATGCACCAATTCCACATTACTTTCTATCAGGGGCGGAGCCTCTGGACCCCGCCCACCAAACATAAAAACATATAAAATCTATATCATATTCTTAACAGACGTGTAGTTAATGTTAAAATAACTAGAGATATAAATGACAGAATAACTTCTAATGTTTTCTCAGCAGATTTGAGGCCCAGTGACATTATGAGGAAACCAGGCTGTCTGCTAACAGCACTCACTCACACTGACCACAAACAGTTAATCACACATCAGCAGCACTGAAGAGAAAAAAAAATAAGCTCACTTTAACTCAACTTTGGTTTCACTAAATAACTTTTGCTACACAGATTTGCAACTTTGCATGTTTGGCCTTCAGAAAAATTCAATATTGAACATAATAAAGAATAGAGAAAATTACAGCATCCTGTCGAGACAGTGTGTTTCCTCTCACAGACTGATATTATACAAGACTTACCCAACACAGAGAGTCTGTACTCAGCAACAACTGTGACATTGTCAGCAGACGCTTGTTCTTCATACAGTCCACTATCAGTCTTCTGTAAGTTCTTCAGTGTCAGACTGTAGGTTTCCTCATTGAACTCCACTCTGCCTTTATAATCGGAAAAGTATATAATATTTTTAGATTTCTTTTCATATTTTAGAACATTATTAATTTTGTTAAACTCCCAGAACAAGTCATCAAAGTCTGGCACAGGATCCTGTGTGTCCAGTTGAACAGAACCACCAACCAATCTGAACACATCACAGGACACTGTGTAGAGAAAAAATGAGAAAATATTAGAACATAAAGATATTTTGTTACATTGTGATTTCTTTATCGTGATCTGTCACTGTGTGGCATGTTAATGACTAGTAATGGCAGAGAATATTAACATACATTTTAACCTCAATAGTTCGGAGAATTTTTTACCTGTGATTGAGATCAGAGTGGAGAGAACAAAGATCAGCTGCAGCATCATCGCCATTGCAAACAGAGTGACATACTTTCTGTTTTGCACTGATGGATGAAATTCTGATAGACCCTCCTCACTCCCTCAGAGAGGTTTTCTAATGTGCTGATGTTCACTTTACAATGAAGGAGGGAGTTTTGTGTCAGAGTTTTTAGGTGCTGATGTTAATGCAGAACTTTTAAGTACAAAGTGACAAAATATTTAACATTAAAAAATGCAATTTAATACAGTTTACTTTGTTATTATAACCTAAATACAAAAATGGTGCCCTCAGCTTTTTTAATTTAAAAGCACTGAGCACTTTAGGACTGGAAACAACAGATTTCACAGAGTTTATTTCTATAGAATTAGTCACTCTCAGTGATCATTCAACTAATTCATAGAACTGTGAAGCATCATTATGTCTTCTTGTTTTATTGCGTGCCTCGCAGACATTGACGTGTTATCTTCAATGCCAGTCTGCTCATGTTGGTTTTCCTGTGGTTGTGGTTAGTCTAGTTTCTCTTCATTAGCTTCTCACGCAGTTCTGTATATGGAAGTGAAAATGCCACACTGCAGCGCAGATGCCGAGTCTCTCCACAACACAGATTAAATGTTTGATTGGAGTTTGTTCTGAACAAAAATTATATTTTTCCTGAATTTATTCCACCTGCTCATCCACTGTGCGATGAAATCTGCCTCCTGTGATGACAAAGAAGAGCAGATAAATCTGCCTTTGTTTTGGCTTTACTTGATAATTTGATTCATTTCATAAATCTGACATGCTGTGTGTACTGCTGTCTCATAAATGAATGCAGGTAGACAATCTAACTAAGTTCTCTACACTCTAAAAAGTAATTCAGATGGTCTTCAGCCAATACTTAAATATATTCACTGTTGTCAGATAAAAAATCAAGTTATGAGACATTTCCAGAGTTTTTATTTGCAGTTCTTATTTTATTGAGTTCTGGTGACGCACAGATTATAAGTGTTGTTTCAACACACTATCATGACTCACACAAACGTAATATATTTGACTGAATAATAAAGAAAAAAAAATCATCTTCTAGTAACTTAACTTTATACAGTGGACAACTTAATTTTCTCAATTGTTTGAATTCGCTCTGCCCACAAGGACAAGCTGGAATTCCCCTGCACACGTCTGGACCAAGTTTCATGGAAGGAAAGCAAGGTGAGCGTTCTACCCGTTACAAACATTTATAATTCATATAGCTGGGTATTTTGCTTTTGTGACATGAAGAACTCTGCCCACTTTGTGGCTGTGTTGAGGGTCAGTAGGCACACACTAATTAGCCAGCTAGCTAGCCAGCCAGCTTTCCTTAAGACTGTCATACACCATATTATAACCATTACAAACTTTTTTTATGACCTATATAACTAAGTATTTTGCTTTTGTGACATGAATAACTCTGCCTGCTTTGCGGCTGTGTTGAAGGTCAGTAGGCATGAACTACGAAAAAGGGAGAGAGAGTGAGTGCTGGGCAGATTAGCTGTTAACTTTTCTGGCATGGACCGACATACCAATAGGTGTTGTATCTTGAGTAAAAAGGGATAATTTCATGGCTGAAAATAGTTGTATTTGCATTGGCATTGAATTTCTGTCTTTTCTACCCTGCAATGTTTTGTGTAGAAAAAGACATGATGAAGATGGACATTATTGTGGTTGAGGGAACCAAAATCCTGGAGGGTTTGATGTCGCCAGATCCTGTGCTTTGTCGACCACTTGCCACTTGCTACATTAATTTCACCTAATCAGTGGCTAAACTGACAGGAAAATGTCAGGGCGCAAGGCTAGGGCCCAGCGCAGAGGACATGCTAACGAGAACCTGGGTTCGACTTCAGACGATGCTGCAGCTAATGCTAAGAGTACTGGTGCTGAAATGTCCTCATCGGAGGAACGGATAATGACAGTGATTGCAGGACTGGGAGTCAAGTTAGACATGCAGAATGAGACTCTTTGTCAGGAAATAACAGCAATTCGCCAAGAGCTGCAGAACAAGGTAAAGGTCCTCGAAGCGGCTCGCTCCAAGCAAAATGAACACATTGATGAGCTCCAGGAAGCTACTAACAAGTGGAGCACCACCGTGTTGGTGCTAGAATCAACCGTTAACTCTTTGTCAACTGAGGTTGCGACTTTGAGAGAGAAGTGCACTGACCTTGAAAGCCAGAGTCGCCGACAGAATATTCGACTGGTGGGAAACAGGAGAATACAGAGGGTTCTCAGCCACGTCACTTTATTGCAGATGCCTTACAAGAAATCCTTGATCTTCCTGACAAACCGCTAACAGGCCGAGCACATCGCATCCTCGCCCTGAAACCCGGAGACGGAGAAAAGCCTAGAGCTTAAATGGATTCACGGTGTGGATGTGAGGGACAACCTGCTCCGTAAAGCCAGCCAAAAAGGTCAGCTCACGTATCGCAGATGGTGGGTGTTTCTCTTCCCAGATTTTCCTTTTTCCTCAAAAAAAGAGTGGCATATGGCAATATTTGACGTTTGCTCCGAGGTGTAACCAATATGCGATACGGTGCACTTTACCCTGCAAAATTCAAGATTACATTTCAGGGAAAGTCTCACGTCTTCGAAGATCCTGATTTGGTGCTTGCTTTCGCTCGGGGATTGGGCCCCATTTTGGACAGCATCTCAGAAACAGTTGCAGTTGAACCCGACCCAGTGTTGTACAGTGTAGTCTATTTTGTGGACAAGTATTACAACCAGAATTGTATTCATATCTGGTAATTAGAGTGCATAGCCCAGGTAGATATGCTTTGTGTTTTCAGGTTAGTTAATGCACTAGTATTTGACCATATGTATGACTGCCTAATTAGACTTAATTGCGCTTTTTTGTGTTCATGACGTTTCTGTTTTTGTGACCATGTTTGTCCTCCATCTCATTTAGATGTGATTGATACCATTCACTTTTTTCCCTTTCTAATTAAAGAGTGGTGTGAGTATGTAAGAGGGGGTCACACTCACTGTTCTAATGTTTTGCTAAGAGTTTGTGAGCACAGGGTATTAGAAGTAGCCAGTAATTACCCAGGCTAAAGAGGAACTTCTGAGTTGTGGTTCACGTATGGGGAGTGTATGGGGGCGGGATTCTACACTTACGTGTCTTTTTTTTTCTTTTCTTTTCTTTCTTTTTTGGCCTGCACATTAATCTATTGTATAAGCTCCATGGGAACCCTTTTGTGTAATGACTAAAAAGGGTATACAGTTTACTACTTGAAATGTGAAAGGATTAAACCATCCCATTAAATGTAGTAAGGTACTCTCCCATAGTAGTTGGGAAGTTATAAAATTTGAATGTTATATTGGCCTGTGTTTATGCTCCAAACTATGACAACCCCAAATTCATTAATAGGTTTTTTTCTTCTCTACCATGTCTGCATACCCACCATTTGATACTTGGTGGGGATTTCAATTGTGTCTTAAACCCAGCACTCGATAGATCTTAAACTAAATCTTTTTCTAGCTCCAAAACTGCTGAATCAATACATTCATTTCTAGACTCTTATGCTGTTTGTGACCCATGGCGTTTTCAAAATCCCACCAGAAAGGAGTTTTCTTTTTTCACCAGTACACAATACATTCTCATGAATTGATTTGACAAGGCCTTATTGCCCAATGTAAAGTCATGTGAATACAATAGTATTGTTATTTCTGATCATGCACCACTCATGTTAGAACTGGACATCCCTGGAAGACCTGACCAAAGGCTATGGAGATTCAACTTCCTATTCTTATCAGATCCCTCTTTTGTTTCATTTATTAATACTCAGATAGATATATTTTTGGAGACCAATGCTAAACCTGACTGTTCACCATCTTTACTATGGGAGACCTTAAAAGCATACTTGAGAGGACAGATCATTTCTTTTAATTGCATAGGGCACGTATCAGAATTATCTGGCTTAATTCTCAGTGTAGACAGATTATGCGCTTCAGGCCCTACACCAGATCTGTGTAAGAAGAGACTACAGTATAAAAGTGAATTTGACTGTCTTTCCACTGGACAGGCAGAGCAGACGCTTCTTAAAGCACGGGGTGTGATTTATGAATATAGGGACAAAGCCGGTAAAGCCTTAGCCCACCATATTAGACAAACATCATCTAATCAAATGATTTCCCAGACCGACACTGGCTTTGGACCTATTAGTGATCCACATAGAATAAATGAGCAGTTTTTCATATTTTGTTCTAATTTGTACTCATCCGAGTCCCTATCTGATCCTGCTCTTCTGGACTTCTTTTTTTTAAAGGGTTGAATATTCCAGTGGTAGATCGGGATTCAATGACGAGGCTGGAGGGCCCTCTTACTCCGGATGAAATCAACTTAGCAATTAAGTCCATGCAGAGTGGGAAATCTCCGGGATCTGACGGCTTTCCCGCTGAATTTTATTTAAAATTTTCTCCAAAACTGTCCCCTTTACTGGTATCAATGTTCAATGACAGTCTAGAATCTTCTCACCTTCCTCCAACACTCACCCAAGCATCAATATCTCTGCTCCGGAAAAAAGGCAAAGACCTCCTGAACTGTAAACCTTATCGTCTAATAAGTCTCCTTATTGTAGATGTCAAAAATTTAGCTAAGTGTCTCACTTTACGCCTGGAGAATGTTCTACCATCTTTGATAACCTGTGATCAG